TGATACAGGTACCCACAGATCCTGAGCGTTTATCAAACGCTCGCCCTCCCACCCCGAGCCCCCTCCCTCGCTGTCATTTTGGGCGTCCGGTGGTTTCAGCTTTTCCCACCCCAGCGGGGCCAAACTTGCCCGCAGCAGCAGAACACAAAGAGGTGGCTGCAAAAGCGCTGAACCGCTGCCAAAGCCGCCGGGCTGATTTGAGGCACACCCTACAGAAAGTCCCAGGACGGGGTTCTTTGCCCTGCGCAGTTCTTTACCCCCCAGCACCAGCCATTCTGGTTTAGGAGCTCCCTGACACCCACTGGTTACGACAGCCGCCTCCGCAGCTAACGCCAAGAGCTTGAACCGCAGCCATCCCGTATCTCGAAGCTGCAAAGAGTCGGGTTTGACTTAATCAGGCTGCAGAGCAGGCACCGGAACGGGCACGCAACCCTGGCCAGCGGGAAGCTCAGCACAACCTCACCGGCCTGAAAACAAGATGATTCCCACCCAATTAATAGGTTAGCCCTGGAAAGGACAAGTGGCAACACCCCAGGCTTGGAGTTTGCTCAGGGCATCTGCACCCCACAGCAATCTACGCGATGATAACCCCTGCAGTATCTCTAGCAAACATCCCAGCCCCAGACACCGAAGGCACCCGAGTGGGAATGCTTCTCTGCCTGTGGTCATCTGCAAGAGAAAAATAAATACAGAAAGCTGAAATTCAGCCCCGCCCTCCGCCCTGAGTGGTAGCAGCACAGGGCTCAATTAAAACCTATTTTGGGGACGTTGGCTGGACACAGACTGGCTGGTGGACCACACGGCCGACGATGACTTCCACGCAGGGAGAGGAGCCTACTCGTCACGCACAAACAGGCATCTTCTGGCCTACACCTACTAATTAGGAGAGGGAGTTCCCAACACGCCTATTCTGGGTTCCTCCAGACAAGCAGCTTTTTACATTTTTGCAAACTTTTCTCTGAGCAAATGCCAAAGTGAATTACGCAGGAAACCAGCAAGTCTTCGGGGAGGTTTGACAGGTCGCAGGTGAACAACCCCTTCGCTCGGGCAAGTGCACCGCAACCGTCGCCTCAGGCTGGTTGGAACCCCACCAGCCCAAATCTGATGTGCCTACGAGCAGGCTGGTTTGCATTCTTCCCAAACTTTCGGGGGCCTGACGCTCATTTTCATTAAGCCCCTATTACAACATCACCCAGAGCTCTCAAGAGCCTGGAGATGGGTGTAGCTGTAATCAGCATCCACTTAAAAGCACCTTCATGCTGCCAGCACAGTGCAATGGGCTACAGCATGACAGAATCAGGCCCTCACAGACAGTCAGTTCTGATTATTTGTATGAGTTTCCCCTTGATTTTAATCCTGTGAAACTCTGGGACTCGACCACATCTTGTGGCAGTGAGTTCCACGGGTGATGATGTAGCTGCTCGGGGAGAGCCAGGCCCGTGTTTGCAGCAGCACACTTCCCTCTCGTATTAAATTATCCATCGGAAAGCTCTTACCCGGGCTGTGCGCTCTTACCTGTGTTGTATGCTGTGGGCATGGCAGAGAAAGGCAGCCCCTGCGTCAGCAAACTCGGAGTAGCCACAGAAACAACCGGTGTGGTTAAAGAGTGAGTTGCTTGGGAGACACCTAACCGCTGCGTATTCTGCTGGGGAAGCAAACAGAGAGGGAGTTACAACCCAGATGCATTTTACTCTGTTGTCCTTGTGGCCCCCCCAAAACCTCGGTCTGCAGCTGCCCCCCCGGGCATGCACCAGCCTTTGAAGCGGCCAAGGCTGATCACAGAGACTGTGGGACTAAGCGGGATTGATCCTCTGGCCATTCCTCATTGTAACAAAGGAAAGTGCAAACCACACCAGTTACAGACATTTAGGACCCTTGTGACATTCATTTGCAGGTCACTTGGCATTGGCCTTGGGTCACCTTTCCGCCCAGGGCTGGGCTTCACCTGCAAGGATCAGCGACATCCCTGCGTGCATGTGGATGCCTCAGTCTGTATTCCTGATGTAAAAAAGAAGAGTCACTATCTTCCAGAGGATGCGTGTGAGGTTTGCTGTGCTACTCAAGGAGTGAAAAAGGTACCAAACAAAAGCAGGACCGGCTAACGCAGCGCAGAGCTGACACATCCTCCTCCCTGCAGCACCGATGTCCAAGAATGAGCCCCCTGCCTCTAAGGCAAGCTGAAGGTGCTGAGCATCAGCCTCGGGATTTTAAAGGCACTCTGGCATCCTTAAACTTAAAGTCCAGTGCTCAGCAACCTGCCGGCTTGGTGCCCTCATGAGGTTTGGGTGACTCGGGCATTAGCAGGTCCACTGTGGAAAAATTCTGCCCTTGGACCGATGCATGCCAGCCTCCCCCCCGTGGTTTTCCAGGCAGTTATGTGGGCGGATCTATGGGACAGATTCAGCCCTGTTTACAAGGCAGATAATCTGGGCTGTCTCTGCTGATCTGATTTAAATCAGACTCAAGAGGCTTGACTCTAATCTGAAGCACCCCGGCAAACGTCACCCTGTGAAGACTGGGGCAGTGCCCAGCTTAAATCACGCCTGGCACGAGGCTGGCTGTGTCCCTGGGGACATGGCGGGGAGCCTTCCTCCTGGCTCTCTGCGAGGCGCTGAGGGCTCCCAGGGCCTTTTAGGGCTGGGCATGGGACCGTGCAATGGTTCACGGCCACGCAGGACTCTCCTGGGATAAGGCTGGAGGCTAAAACCCCCGCCCTTGCCACCTCCGGAGGGTGACAGCACTCCGGCGTGCTGGATTTGCAGCACCCTGCGCCCACATGCTGCCCAGCCCGCAGGTCCCTCCCCGCCACCCAGGGAAGGCGATTACCAGGGCTCTAATTGCTAAAACCCTGGGGCTGTAGGAGCAGGTTTTCCTGGCATGCATCCCGCTGGCAACCACCCTTGGCCATGCCCACTGCCCGCGGGTTAAGGACGCTGCAGAGAAATGCCTTCACGGTGGGCAGGATTCAGCCCCATCCTTCTCCTGCCTGCACCGGACCCCAAGCCAGCCCAGCAGGATGAGACCTGCAGCCCCATCCCCTCCACCCCCTGGTAGCCTTGCACGGGGGCTCTGCGGCTTTCCCGGGACAGTGCCAGCATGGGGATGAGTCTGGCCACAACAGAGGGCTGGGGCGGTGGGATGCCGGCTGAGCAGCAGCCACCCCCCTTACACCACGAGGCGAGGATGTCAGACTCAGCCGCGCTGTAGGAAGCGCCCAAATTTTCATCCCGATTCATGCAGGTAGGAGGTGCTGAGGTGTGCAAGCTGCCCCCCCGCCCCGTGCCACTCACTCCGCCGTGCGCCTTGCAAAATGCTCCCGGTTGCAAACTGCCATTCAGGCTTGTTACAAAACCATGCAGGCATGCTCCCAGGTGAGATCGCTCGTTGCCGTAGGCTTGGTGAATGGCTCCTGCCCTGCCCTTCAGACTAGGAGCGTGTAGAGAAACGGGGGGACGCCTCTCTGAACCCACTAAAAGAGCAGACCGCGCTCAGAGCCTGTAAAGCTGCCAGGAGCAAGCCCACGAGGTTGGCAGGGGCTGAGTCTGCGGGCAAAGGGTTAAGGGCAGCGGGGCAGGTCTCAGCGGAGGGGCAGCTGACTCATCCTGCTGCCTGTGTGTAGGGAGGTGGGAGTTGCCATTTAGAGAGAAGATCTGGTGTGTAGGTTGAGCAATATGGAGGGAGCAAATCTGGGGAGAAGGTTAGCGGAGCAGGGGGGGTGCATCCACACCAGGCGGGATGAACCCACAGAGACAATGCTTTGCTTTCCCCTGCCCGATCCAGCTGCGCTGAGGTCCCTGTCCCCCCTTCCCGGATTTCATCACCCGCCACCTCCCCGCTGCCAGCTCGGCTTGGGTGAGGACTGTACTTCACTTCAGGCAAAAATCAGCCGGGTTAGCTCAGACTAACAATTAAAACTGTTACTGCCAACCCGGCTGATTTTTGCCTAAAGCAAGCTGCTCCTCCAGCTCGGAGACAGGCAATGCCCTCTGGCAGCGGGAACGGTGATGAGCAGATGGGGAGGCGGGTGGTGACTGTTTTCACTCTGCGGATGGGGAAACTGAGGCACGGAGCTGCCGGGAGGGGGCCATTAAGCAAGAAGGGGTTTGGGGCATGGAGAGTGGCAGAATTCAAGTCTGCCAAAGCCCTGGCCAACCCTTCCCCCGGCCAAGAGTGTCTCCTTGCAGGCTGCGAGAGGTATTGGCTTACTCCTGTGTTTTTGGAGAGCTTTTCCCTGGCTGCATTAGCTGCATCCTACAGCGGCTCTCGCCCTTTCCTCGCTGCGCTGACCTGTCGCCCATCTGCCCTGCACCAGAATAGCAACAGAACAGGGTGAATCATTGCCACAAACAAGGTGGTGTTCACTTTGCTGGCGGAGGGGGGTGGTGGTGGAAAAAAGCCATAAAAATAACACGGAAAACTGCCCCTGTGCACAAAGGAGGTTTAGGGAGTGCACTAGCCAGCCAGCGGATTTACACGGGCTTTAAATAATATCCTTAATATGGGAAGAGCCTGATTTACTCCCTATCTCTCATGTGGTGGCAGAGGGCCAGGTCTTCCCGTGCTGTAAACTGTGGTGGCTCCAGCGAAGCCCACGCGGCAGGTCCCCGGGTGGTGGCAGTGCCCAGGCTGGCTCTGTGCAGCACCGGCCCCAAAAGGGACCCGGGCTGACCTCCCCCAGGGAAACCAGCACAGCTTTTTTAGCCTTGGTGGAGAAACAGACACTTTACAGCTCGGGTCAGCTCCTTCTTTTCCACAGGGAACCTGATTTTCCTAAAAGTGCATTTTTCTCAGGATTGATTTTCTGGGGCAGGACTGGATGTGACATTTGTGCTGGCACCCGCGTCCCGCCCCGTTCCCAACGGAGGGCAAAGGGGCTGGCATCCACCCCTTACGCGTGCCCCACGCCTTCGCCGAGCCAGGGCAGGATGCGGGGACCAACGGGACAAGCAGCCCACGTCCCACCCCGCCGCGATGCACGCTCAGCAGGGAACTCACCAGAGCCAAGTGGTCCTCCGTCTGCCCGTGGGAGAACAGAGAGAAAACCGAGAGGCACCGTTAACTAGACAGCCCCGCCAACCGCCGCACCGTCACGCTCGCCGGCACCGCGCCCTTGCCTACCACGGGGCACGTACGGTGCTTATGGGTTACACTTGTGCCTGGCGCCAGGGCTTTGCACTGTGCTGTTTGCAGGCACAGGCTTTGCACCATGATGTTTGCATCCAGCACGGTGCAAACGGGAATCCAAGCCTTCCTCCTCAGATCTCCCCGCCGGCACGGCCCCGGCCAGCTCCCACCGCTACGGCATGGAATAGGTGCCCGCACCGCATCTGCTCCAGCGCAAAGGCCACCCTGCAACCAGTCTGCTGGCAGGGGACACACTCCCACCCTGGTCTCCTCGTAGACCTCTGCCAGGCACTCACCAAATGGTGCATTAGCCCCTTGCCGCTCTGCGAGGTGATCACGCGTAAATCCGGCTTGCGGCTGTTGGTGGCGAGCTGCGTGCTGTGGGAGGGCGGTGGCGGGGACTTGGCTGGGATGATCTTGCCCAAGCTGCTGCCGTTGGACACGGGAAGGAGACCCGGAGAGGCTCTGGCACTCACGTAGCCGTTTCCTGCAGGAGAATGGGTGACAGAGAGGAAGGAGGTGAATGCACGGCGGTGGTAAATGCATGCACGGCGAGCGGTGCCGCAGCGGGGCTCCATGGGTGCTCCTCCTCAGGAGAGCAGCGCCGCATCCCCCCCAGGCTCCCCAAAAGCCTTCTGCACACCAGGCAAGTTCATCCGCAGCCCCTGGGCAGGTACCTGCCCGCCTGCTGGCAGCGTGGCGCAGCCCTGAGCAAGCTCAGCAGTGCCGGCAGCCGCTCAGATGCCTGCAGCGGGTGCATCCTCCCCACCAAGACCAGGCAAACCTGCCCTGGGCCAGGCAGGGGCAGAGGCAGGGCAGGCAGCCGGCCCCGAGCTCCCAGCGCCTGGGGCAGCTCCTCAACCTCCAGGAACCCACGATCGTTACTGCAATAACAACCAATAAATATTACAGGCCTGATTCGCAGCAAGGCCTCTTTATGCTGCTCTGGCAGGGTACTGGGGCCCTAGCAAAGGGGCATAATTACTGTTACGTTCACTTTTAAGGTCTCTTTATGGTACTGGAGCAGCGAAAAGGGGCTATGGCAGAGCGAGGACTCAGTTCACTGATCCCACTGCCCCTTTGAAGATCTGAGGTTCCCTCCTCCTCCTCTTCCTGCTGCCCCACTTAAGGATTTTATGTGCAAAGAGGGGGGGGGGAAGAAGAAAGGAAAGGAAGAAAAAAATTTAAAAAGGAAAAGATTTGATGAACATCAGGAAAGGAATAAATTGGATCAGATTACTGTTCTGATGAGGGGTTTTTTTTTTTATGAATAGGCCCCAAAGATAGAAAGGCGTTTAGCAATCACCAGGATTCAGCCCTCATATTCATTGCACGTTAGACCGGGAAAAATAGGTCGCTGATTGCATTATTAATCACATCTACCATTGCGCTACGTCTGCATTTCAGCAGGCGGCTCAGTGCCGCCGCAGCCGTGGCGCGTGCTCATCGGGGGCCGAGCACCAGCCGCTGCCTCTCTCAGAGCTGTCCCGGGGCCGGACACATGGGTGATGGAGTAAACTGGGCACAGGGGACGGCCATGCACCCTGAGAGCCATGGGTCTGATCCCACCGATGCCGCCGGGGACGAGAGATGCTGCCCCACCGGGTGCCTGGGAGCTGCCCGTCAGGGATGCCCGTGGTGGCTGGGCTGCTGCAGGCAGGCAGCCCCGTCTTGCAACTCCTGTATCCGTGTCCCTGCCTGAGGGAGGGGACCGGCCTTCCTCTCCCCGGCGAGGTGTCCTCCCAGTCCCGAATCACTGTGAGCAGCCGTGCATTAGGCATGTGCCTGGTGCATCAGGTCCCGGGTACCCCCACGCACCGTGAATTATACGCATTTCGCTTGGAAGGCCACTGGCTTTTATATTTATTAACAATGAAGGTACATAAAATTCCCCGGGTGACCTTTGCTACCCGCAGTGCCGGTGGCCATGCAAAAGCTGACAGAGGCAAAGCCTAAAGAAATGTTAAACCCCCTGATATTCTCCTTCCCAAGGTGGCACCAACATGGATGCACACGCGGCTCTCATGGTGACTGCCACTTTGAGGTACGCCACGTTACCGTGCGCGTCAGCTGGGGCGTGGATCGGGGTGGACCTGGTGCTGGAGGGGAGCAGGTTCGGGTCCCAGTGCCGCTACTCACCCCTGAAGGGGCTTCTCTGGCAGGGGGTCTTGGGCGCCGCCATTGGAGGAGTCCCCCCAGCCTGGATCTGGCCACCCCCACGAGCTGGAGAGACAAGGGCTGCGCTCCCACTAGGATTTCGGGATAACCCTGACCCCAAAAAAGGGGTCCAAAAGCAGAGCGCTCCAGGCTGCCTTTGCACCACCCTGGTGTGAATTTGAGCCTGGCAGCGCCCCGTGCTCTCGCAAAGCCGGGGGGCACAGCATCCCCCTCGGTGGGGCAGGTAGGGTGGGCAAGGTGCTTCCCACCCCCAGAGGCACCAAGGATGGTCGCACGCCACGGTGCGCAGGCAGGACGCGGGGGACGCAGCCTGCATCGCTGCAGGATCCGGCCAGAGGCACCCGGCGGCTGATGACTCAGAGGCAGCAGGTGATCGCTCGGTGCCGCAGAGATTGCAAGGGAGGAGGAGGGCGACGAGGAGGAAGAGATGTCCCAGGTACCCAAAAAACATAAGCACGGTGCCAGAGCCAGAGCCATGCTCCCCACCTGCAGCCGGCGCGAGGAGCCCCGGGGATGGCAGGGGTCCTGAGATGGCAGGGGTGCGGGGCTGGCCATGGCCGGGCTGTCGCTGCTCCTCGCGCCCGCTTCCTGGAGCGGCGGCAGGAACACG